TCGCCGGCTGCTTGAGCTCACTGTGCATTACAAAAGCCAAGTGATTAGCCCCCACCAGCACCCACAAACTTATTTCGAACTAGCACACCAAATGGGCTGTAAATTTTCACAGGAAAGGCTGCATGACTGTGACAAATTTGGATTCTGACATTTGAGACCCACGAGGAAATAGCCTATCCAAGGTGGTGTCGACTTACTAGCCAGTCAACAAACGTTTCTGCCTACCAGTCGTTGGATTGACATCCAACATCTGTCATGTATCTTCTATCTATGGTCTTCTTCCTCCAGCCGCCCAAACCAAAACACCCCGTCGGCTCCGCCTGCTCCCGCCTCCCATGGCTGGCTGCGCCTCCGCCGCCCTACCGTACCCTCCAACGTTGGCCAGTCCCTCCCTCTGTTCCTCCACACATCCTGTTATTCTCTGGCGATGTCAGCCCAACACGCACCCGCACCCGAACCAGTCAACCCTCGTACTCCCCTCCGCATGCGACTGGACCGGCGCATCTTCCACGACTCGTGTTCATTCCGTCTGAGGCCTCGCCGTCGTCCTCAGCCTTGGTTCACTCGCCGTGCGCGGTGCGCCGCCCTCTTGCGTTGTCAACGCCGTCAACAACCGAGAGGAACAAGGATATGACCGTACGTGGAGAGGATGACAGTAGGGACCCACCAGCGTCATGGCAGTACGCAAGCAAGTGCTTCGTTATTACAAGCCCCAAAAATGGTTCCTCCTAATGGTTGGACATCTGGGGCTCACGCCATTGTCAACGTAGTCAATAAACGAGAGAATTACACAACGAGCGGCTGACACCAGGGACCCAGCAGGTCGCGCGGTTGTTATTTACTTTGTTTTAGGAACAAGCCATTGTTATTTATACTAGTTTTAGCGACGGATCGGGGTAACAACGGGGCTGTGCGGGGGCTGTGGCCCGTCTAGCCAGGGTTTTATTTATGTTTACCACATCATGAGCCCAGCTGTGTTTTTTTCTTGCTGAAAATGGCTAGCCCAGTTCTATTTTTTTAAGAAATACCCAAACGAGGCCTACTTGCTTTATCAGCCCTGCTGGGCTGCAAATCTTTCAAGACGAGGAGACAGTTTCATTCGGTTTGCTCAGAAATGGGTTGTACATTTTTAAAACACATCAAACCGGGAATTAGTTTCATTTTTTTAATTACAAGATTTTAAATTCCATTAGTTTTTATGCCTAGACAATTATTTGGATTTTATATTTATATAAATTATTTTTCAAAATAGTTTCAATGTGACTCGATATTTCGGGATTAAAAACAGTTGACCGCCGTCGTCAACTCACTCAACACACGAGAGTAGTGACTGTTGGATGTCCATCCAATGGCCATCGTGCTTCTTCAATCTCTGCTCTTCCTGCTTCAGCCGCTCAAACAAGCGTCGGCGGGACTGCCTGCTCCCTCCTCCCACGGCCGGCTATGCTGCCGCGCAGGCCTCACCGCCCCATCGGTCTCCCATCGCTGGCCTAGCCATCCCTCTACTCACCCACACATGTTGTTATTCTCCAGCGACGACAGGCGAACCAGTAAACCCTCGCACTCCCCTGCGCGTGGGAAACAGCTGCCGAGTTTTCCCTGGCTCCATGTCGTTCCCTTCCTAGGCCTCGCCGTCGTCCACCACCCTGGTGCTCTCGGCGCGGTGTGGTCAACGTGGTCAACGAACGACATGCGTCGGAAGTGAACTGTACATGGAGAGGCCGACAGCTGGGTCCACGGCCGCACACAAGGAAATGCCTCCTTATTACGCGCAAAATAATGATTCCTCCACCTGACAGCTAGGACCCACCGGAAGGGCCTCTATATTTCATGAAAAAACGTTCCCGCGCTAACAAGTCGGACCCATCAGCTATATCTTCGCATACAAGGAAGTGCCTCGTTATTACGCACAAAAAAAATGAATACCCCCCTGCTAGCTGGTACCCACCATAGTGGGAGGCTGACTTGTGGGCCTACTAAGATGACAGAGATGGAGGCTTTGTCAACTTAGTCAATATGAACAATTCTAGCTCTAGTGACCGTACGATGTCCATCCAACGGCTGTAGTGCTTCTTCAACCTCTGATCATCTTGCTCCAGCCGCCCAAACAAGCGTCGGCCGTGCTGCCTGCTCCTGCCTCTCGTGTCCGGTTGTGCTGCCACCGCTGGCCATGCCATCCCTCTATACTCACCCACACCTCCTATTATTCTCCGGCGAAGGCATCCTCACACCGCAGCCGAAGCAGTCACCCACGTACTCCCCTAGGCATGGGCATCCGCTGCTGCGTCTTCCCCGGCTCCGCGTCGTCCCCTTCCTAGGCCTCACCGTCGTCCACCGCCCTGGTGCTCTCGGCGTGGCATGGTCAATGTGGTCAACGAACGACTTTCGTCGGAAGAGTACTGTATGTGGAGAGGCTGACAGCTGGGTCCACGGCCGCAGCAAGGAAGTGCCTCCTTATTACGCGCAAAATAATTATTCCTCCACCTGACAGCAAGGACCCACCGGATGGGCCCCCCGTATTTCACGAAAAAATGTTTCCCCCCTGACTGCTGGGACCCACCAGCTACATCTTCGCACGCAAAGAAGTGCGTCCATATTACGGGCAAAAAAAATGTTTCGCCCCCCTGACTGCTGGAACCCACCAGCTACATCTTCGCACGCAAGTGCCTGACAGTCGGGACCCACCTGGTCGAAGCGTACGTAGCTTTGTCATTCTGGTCGCGAACATGTACGTACATACTGGTCAATGTAGAGGCGCGCACGTGTCGTAGAAGAGGCGCACACGTGTCGTAGTAGAGGCGCACACGTGTTGTAGTAGAGGCGGGCACGTAGCATGTACACGTACGTACAGCGATTAGGGTACAAGAAAGAAAATACGGCCACGTATGTACATACGGGTGGGGCCTCGAACGCCTACTCGCGCATACGTACGGCCAGGGCTCGTGTACATGGCTGGGTCAGAACGGAGAAGCTGCACTGTTGTCATGTTCATCGGGAGGCAACGGAATGCGTCTTGTTTATCAGGAGGCAACGAAACGCGTGCTGTTCATCGGGAGCCAACCGGCTTGGACGGAACAGCCGATGAAAACGAGGCCTAGCGTACCGCAGAACAGAGGAAACGGCCTTGTGTTCAACTGGCCACGATCGAAACAGGATCCTGTTCATCGGGAGGGGTCTGGTGTACCGCAGAACGGAGGAAATGGACCTCCTACGATGGAAACGGGGTCCTGTTGACCGGGAGGGGTGTGGCGTACCGCAAAACAGAGGAAACGGACTTGTGTTGGAGCGCTACGGTCGAAACGGGGGTCCTGTTCATTGGGATGGGTGTGGCGTACCGCAAAACGGGACTCCACGGGATACTGTTCATCTCCACCGTCGACTGCCTCCACGGGATGCTCCCACCGCCGGCTTCTTGGCCCTCCTGGCTGCTCCACCCCCACCACGGGCTTCTTGGCCCTCCCCTGCTCCTCTAACCCCGGTTTGAAGACCCAGCCATCCATGCAGGAGGCGCCCCCGTCCGAGGACGAGGGCGAGGGGCGCCAGAGGGAAGAAGGAAGGAGGAAGAAGGGGGAGAAGGGACGCGCCGGCCGGCGGCTATCCGGACGAGCGGGAAGGAGGGAGGGGGTGCAGCGCTGTCGAGCGAGGGAGGAAGGAGAGGTGTGGCGGCTAGGGTTGGTGCGGGTGTGGGCTCTGGCGCAGCAACCCCGCGACCAGGATTGGAGCGGAGCACGCGCAGGGATTGGGCGAAAGCCTTTTCCACCCGAGATCGATCAACCCAACCAATAAACACGCGGGCGAGCCCACCGGTCATTGAACACCGAAAACAACCGCGAGGTGGAATCGGGTTTAACAGCAGGTAAAGATCCCACGGCTCAGACACTCTAGATGGCCAGATCCAACGGTCAACGAAGGCCTAATCGAGGGAGAACCAGGGAGGCGAATTGCCCAGCCTCCTTATTGGTTTAGATGTCCTGGGTAAGTATGTCCTGGGCACAGCGAAGACGTCCAAATTTTAGTGCCAACCATGTCGGTCGTAATTTTGAATCACCAAGAGGCACCGACAACATCATTGAGTAATTAAAACAGACTAACGAGACCATAATCATATACTCCCGCGTTCCAAAATATAAGGTGGTTTAGGTTTTTCAATAGTCAAACACACGCATGTTTGACCAAGTTTTTAGAAAAAATACTAATATCTACAATACCAAATTTATACCATTAGATTAGATTCATCATGAAAACTATTAAATCGTTACAACTTATATCTTGGAACATAGGGAGTACAGTACAAGATCTGATGCCTGTAGCAGGGTGGCAGGGGTAGCTATCCAAATGTAGCTGCTAAAAAGGATTACAATCAATACATATTGTTCCTGGCTGGCTAATTTAGTAAAATCTTGCACAATATAAACTGAACTATCACCGTTCAAATGTAATGCAAAGGCCTCCCACAGAAGAAAAAGAAAAGGAAAAATACAAAGTAAAAAAAAGTTAGCTATCAACATAGGCAGAATACATTGATGGCTATATTGATAGTTAAAATTTTAAACATAAAACTTGCCAAACTGTGGTTCCAAAACAGAAGTACACTATTGCACGCGAACTGAAAGAGTAGATAGTTCCCGGTGATGTTCTTCCAGCTCCAATAGTCCATGACTCACAATAATCAATGTTAAACAACAGTCAGTTCCATATACCATATATAAAGACATTTTTTCGAAAAAAACAAACATATATAAAGACATAATATTGCAGTCAAGACTACAGCAGGTACATTTCCATCAAAAGTCCAACAAGATAACAGTAGTCACGGGGAGCCTATTCAGTTTCATGAGATCCAAGTACATTAGCAACCTCTAAATAGCTCAACTTGTCATATAGGCAACAAATCAGAGTCTACAGCTGAAATATAATTGCATCAAACACTACTTAGCTCCATGAAGAGACGCATTAGCAACCATTACATAGGTCAATTATAAGCATAGGTGCATCAAAGTTTACAATTGAAATAATGACCAGTTGACCTTGATAAGTATCTTAACAGCACCACAGGTAATTTCATCTTCCTCTGCACCGTTCACATGTGGAGTGAAATTAATGGTTCTTGTAGCAGAGGCAGTTGCCACATCACTAGCCTGGGTAGCAACCGTTAATAAAAGCATATCCTTCATTCCAACAGTTACAACACGGCGCCACAACTGGAGCATTCCAGTACCATCACAGATTACACCACCTGCTTTGCTATCATGAAGCACCAGGCGATCCTGAATCCTGGAGGTGCAAGCTGTGATTTCTCCATAGAAATCTCCTTTGAGAACCTTGATTTCAAGGGTAGCCTCCACTGCAAGTTTAACTACTGCAAATTTCACCTCTACAGTGCTCAGCCTGCTATCAAGGTCTTCACGTCCAACATGACCATGTTCCTCCCCTCCCATTAATATGCCATCAATCACACACAGTCCCTTGCTAAGTTCTTGGTCTTTCTTCCCTTGGTCATCCTTGATCTTAAGATCCACCTCAAAATATATACTATCTAGTAACACAAGTCCTCGAGTTGGTCCAGTCAAGATCAACGATTGATCCTATGAGAAAAGGTCACATTACAGATTAGCAGTAACCTCATCTGGATAACGGAATGGAAGTAAAAACAAGCATCGGATGAAAGTTGTTGTCATGCATGCAAGTATAAAACTGTTTTTAAAAATTTACATGACATCTGATTGCATGTGAGCATGTTCTGTTCTACTCTGCTCCATACCATATTCAAAGCATATTTTCTTATGATATCATGACCATTCCTTTTTTTTAATCTTACTAAGGGCTTTTTTGGTACAAAGGATATTCATACATGTTTGGGAGGATTTAAACCCTTAATGTTAATATTTTTTCCTACGTGGGTTGTTTGACTTGTAAGATTGAATCACATAGGATATTTTCCAACTGATACCTTTGCGCTACAAACAAATTTCAAACTGAATTTTACATCGACTCAAACCTCTAGGAAAGAAACCTTTGTTCATGTTATTGTGCAATCAAACAAACTTTGGCACAAATTAATGCGAAATTGTATATGAGCACTCGGCGACGACCCTCACTGCAATCCATCCCATCCACCAGCATTGGGATTCTCACTCATTATATTAGCTGCTTTGTATTCACAGCTTTATCATATCTTATTCCGTTCTCACTTGTGTATATCGGCGCTCTAGTTCACGCGCTTTCTGCCCCTCTGAACAGAAGTTTCTGTTATAAGTCCTCATCTGCCAACTTCCAACCACCCAACTGAAGCAAATGCACACGCTCCTCTCTTCCTCCCAACGGCACACTTCACTTCACGACAACGGTCATCTTCCTCCTCTGGCCAGCTCTTAAAAACTGCAATCCTCCTCACACTGCATATCATCCCGCTGGGAACCAGTCTCATCATCAAGCTTGCAATCCCACGTTCGTTCTCACTGTTAGATGGTACTCATTGCCATGTCAAGCTCAACGACGCCCATGTCAAGCTCCGATCCAGCGCCCCCCTTGTTGCACTAGAGGAGCAGCCACCACTCCCGCTCATGGTTTGCGCATTCTGCAACAATGGAATGGTTAAGTGGTGGGTATCTCCACCACTGACCTTCCCCAAGACACCCGTTCTTCCCATCTGTTCTTCCCCTGAATCCTCTTGTACAGCTCCCACCCCTTCTTGAACACTTATTCTTGCTAGTACCTGGAAAAAAGCCCATAGGAATTAGGAAGACCATGACAGCCGTGACCGTCGTCCGAGCTTGCCGGGTCCTCCGCAGCCACTGTCGGCGACACCATGTTGGCCCTGGGCCCCTGGCCACCGACATCAACTCATGCTTTCTAGCGGCTAGCCACCACCTGTGAGAAGAAAACCAGGAGGAAAACTATGCCACCATGACGAGCAAATCAAGGTAGCCCTCGTCTGTGTTTGCCACATTCTGCGCTCCGCATCTACACACCACGCATACCTTGGGCACCGACTGTATGTTCTGCGTGACCACGGCCAGCGACAATATCGCCGCCGGCATCGCTTCCTAGCACGACATGAGCTGGCCGCCTGTACGACGTTCCGTCCTGGTCGTTCCATCGTCATCAAGCTTGGCATAACCGTCGTTCGCGTCCTGGTCATCCCCGTCGCCATCAAGCTTGGCAATGGCATGGTCGTGCTTCTCCTAGGAACAGTGTCATGTACGTCGTGCTAGCCATGTTTGAGGTCGTGTGCGTCCTGCCTGTGGCCGGCGTCCTTGACCTGGACTTGCGTCATGGCCGTGGCCGGCGTCCTTGACCTCAGCTTGCGCATGGCCGGCGTCCCCTGCCCTGACCCGGTCCTCACATGACGGTCATGAACTTGCTCCACTCCGCTTCAGCCGAGCAAGCTCACACGTGAGACGACAGGTACTAACTATTGCTTTGTACACCTGGGTCGCGTATTGACACGCAACAATCATTTCCTAGTAAGTTGCACAGATCCCAAGAGAGCGGGTGGGCGGACATGATTTCGAAGGGGTGTGTCGCCAAGTGGCCATAGTGGGGGTAACATAACTAGTAACATGTACTTGGGACTCACAAACATGCTTACGTGGCAGGCAATTAAAGAAGAAAGAGGGGATAGTAGTAACATAGGTAGATACCGTATCATAATAAATGTTCTACTACTATGTGTCATGCATGGTAATAAATGAGACCATCTATAATACTACTTTATGATACTATGCACTATGAATGTAGTATCATACACTAGTATCATCTGCATGATACTAGTATATGTTACTCTCCACTATGACCAGCCTTAGTCCGCTTCCCAAATTAATGCCACTAAAATCCTGCGCTTTTTTCTATTCACGCCTTTTTGGAATTCTGCGATTCAATAGGCCCTAAAATTTACAAGGAAATGGAAGGTGGCAACCTCTGTTCGACCATAACCATGCATTATTCTTATGCTTAAACATGTGTAAACAACAAGAATACACTTAACTAACCTTGCGTATTATTATGAATACCAAGACATGATTATATGACGATCCAGCCATACAAAACAACAAGCATAAGCTTCATTAACAATACTTGGGTATTTTTATGAATGAATACCGAGAGATTGCAACCTATAATCTGATGATTGAGCCATACAATTTCCAACACCCTATAATTTATTCCCGGAGCAGAAATGTGTCAAGATCCAGCTAAAATCAAGGGATCGATCTAGGGATTTGTAAGGGAGAATTGGGAAAAACTTCGCCCAGATCCAGATATTTCTATTTATATTTGGTTTACTTAGCCATCTAGGCAGATCTCAGAATTCACGATGCCTTTTGCCAGCCACAGCCCGGCTGTTATATAGGTGATAGCTCCCGGCAACGGGGTGAAACGAAACAGTAACTGCTAACGGTAACGTTACAACTCGATCTAACGGCTAGCGACGAACAGTAACTGTGAGGAGCCATCTCAGCCGTCCATTTTGCCTGAAGCGTTTATCGCCTGAATTGCTACATCTAACTGAAGCTCATCGACACCGGTTCAGTCTTGACATTACTCCCCCCTTGAGAGCCGACGTGTCCTCACGGCGCTGCTGATTTGCCTCGCCACGCGCGCGTAGTGGCGCTGAAGAAATCCGGGAATGTATACTTAATGAAATCAGCGTCTTCCCATGTTGCATCTTCAACAGACAGGTTGATCCACTTGATAAGCCACTGGACAACTGGTGCATTGTTGCGGGAAATTTGGCGCACCTGTAGTACTTCAGATGGCCCTGTTTTAACTGTCCCGTCCGCATTCACCAATGGTAGATTAGGTCCTGGAATTGATTTGTCCCCCACATGCCTTTTTAACTGACTTACATGGAAGACTGGGTGTATTTGCACTGAACTTGGCAGTTGCAATTTGCAGGCACAATTTCCCACCTTCTAAATCACCAGGAAGGGACCACAAAACTTGTTTTGCAATTTCAGTGCTCCTCTGAATCCAAATGTTGCTAGTCTATAAGGGGCCATTTTGAGATAGACTGGTTCTCCCACTTGAAAAGTTCTTTCAACTCTTTTTGTGTCTGCATATTTCTTCATTCTGTTTTGAGCTAGTACCAAGTTTGCCTTCAACTGTTGCAACATTTGTTGTTTTGCTGACAGAAAGTCTTGGGCTTCAGGGTCATCAGGACCAGGAATGGCCAATTCTGATATAAGTGGTGGAGGGAAACCATACAGGGCTTGGAATGGTGACATCTTTATTGCTGTGTGGTAGGTAGAGTTGTACCAATATTCAGCTAGAGATAACCAGGACAGCCATTTCTTAGGTGCAGAGGTGGTCATGCATCTTAGATAAGTTTCCAGGCACTGATTAACTCTTTCAGTCTGACCATCTGTTTGTGGGTGGTAGGCTGTGTTGTACCTTAGTTCCACTTTTAATGCAGAAAAAAATGTCTTTCCACAGCTGACTAGTGAATATCCTATCTCTGTCAGAAATGATCATTTTGGGAGGGCCATGCAACTTGATAATGTTATCTACAAAGGCTTGAGCTACACTGAGCACAGAGTAGGGATGGGATAAGGGAATAAAATGTGCATACTTTGTGAATCTGTCCACAATGACCATAATGACATCCTTGCCCTAAGAATTAGCAGCCCCTCAATAAAGTTCATGGATATGTGCTGCCAGGCCATGTCAGCTACAGGTAGAGGCTCCAGGAGGCCAGGTTGCAAGCAGGATTCATGCTTTGCTCTTTGACATATGGGGCATGCAGCAATGAAATTCTCCATTGAAGCTTTCAACCCAGGCCAGTAGAATATACTTTTTATTCTCTGGTATGTTGCTCTCCTGCCAGAGTGGCCCCCCACTGGTGAGCTATGCAATGCTGTGATTAACTTGATTCTTAAGTCAGGGTTGTTGCCCACTAGGATCGTCCCTTTGTGCCTGATGATGCCATCTGTTAAAGAATAGTCTGACAATGTATGGTTTTTCTGAAGGAGTAACTTCTCCAGCAACTGCAGACTGTCAGGGTCCTTTTTGTAACTTTCTATCAGTTCTTCTGCCCAGACAGGAGTAACAGAAGATATGGCCATGCACTGAGGGAGTAGCCTGGATAAAGCATCTGCTACCCTGTTCTGGATTCCCTTCTTATACTGTATTGTGAAATTAAATTCCAGCAATTTCATCATGAGTTTATGATGAACTCCTTCAGTGATTTTCTGGTCAGTGATAAATTTCAGTGACTGTTGATCAGTTCTGATAATCACTTCCTTGCCCAGTAAATAGTGCCTCCATCTCTTAAGGGCTTCCAATATAGCTAAAGCCTCTTTTTCATATGTAGACAGAGCTGCATTCCTAGGGCAGAGAGAAAAACTGTAATAAGATATTGGCCTCCCCTGTTGCATGAGAACTGCCCCAATACCTTTGCCACAAGCATCTGTTTCCAACACAAAAGGTTGTGTGAAATCTGGCAAGGCCAACACAGGAGCTGATGTCAGTGCTTGTTTTAAGTGTTGGAATGTTGTGTTGTGTTCAGGTTGCCACTGGAATTTCCCCTTTTTCAGCAAATCATGCAAAGGCCTGCAGATTACCCCATAGCCTTTAATAAACCTCCTGTAGTACCCAGCCAATCCCAGAAAACTTCTGAGTTTAGTAATATTTTCAGGAATTGGCCACTCTGCAATAGCTGCAATTTTTGTGGATCTGTTGCTACTCCTTTCTCAGAAATGACATGGCCCAAGTACTCTACTTTCTGCACTGCAAAAACACATTTGGACATCTTTGCATAGAGTTGATGTTCTCTTAGTAACTCCATTACCAGTTTGATATGCTCCAAGTGCTCCTTGAGACTTTTGCTGAATATTAGTATATCATCAAAAAATACCAATACAAACTTCCTTAGGTAAGGAGCAAAAACTGTGTTCATTAACTCTTGGAATGTGCCAGGGGCATTGGAAAGGCCAAATGGCATTACCAAATATTCAAAATGTCCCAAAAATGTTCTGAATGCAGTCTTTGGTATATCTTCAGGGCACATTCTAATTTGATGATATCCAGACCTCAAATCCAATTTAGTGAAATATTTAGCACCATGGAGCTCATCCAATAAATCTTCTATAACTGGTATAGGAAATTTATTCTTAATTGTGAGGGCATTCAATTTTCTGTAGTCAGTACATAACCTCATAGATCCATCTTTTTTCTTGACCAATAAAACTGGTGCAGCAAAAGGACTTTGGTTGTGCTTTATCAAATGTGCAGCCAACAGTTTCTTTATTTGCTCTTCCGTTTCTTTCTTTTGGTGCTGAGGAACTTTGTAAGGTCTGACTTGAGGTGGTGTGGCTCCTTCTACTAAAGGAATTTTGTGGTCTAGAGCTCTCTGAGGAGGTAGGGTCTTAGGTTCTTCAAAAAGATATGCATATTCCAACAGTAGTATCTGTATTTGTGGAGGAGTTTTAAAATCCTCAGGAGCATCCATGAGTATGTTATTGACCTGGCAGAGAAACACTTCTGGCCCTTTTTCCATAAGTTTGTCTACTCTTTTTGGAGGAACTTTCTTTTAAGCAGGCAGTTGTTGAGAACATTGCTGTAGATACAGTCTGTTTTCCTTCATGAGTAAACCCAAATTGTTGTGCAGGTATATCAAATGACACAGGACTAACAACAGTAAACCAGTCATATCCTAAGATCACATCATGACTTGGTAGAGAAAGTACTCTGAAATTGTGGGATAGGGTCAGTTTTGCAATCTGAAATTCACATTTGGGAATCACTGCAGCAGATACTAGTATTCCTCCTCTAGCCACAGAAATACTTCTGGATTTTACAGGTAGCATGTTGCAGTTAGCTTTTACTGCAAAATCCTGGTTGATGAAGGAAGTAGTACTGCCAGAATCCAGTAAGGCCACTGCCCTTTTTCCATTGATGTATATTATTACTGTTGGGGTGGGAACTGCCAGCTGCTGTCCCATTGCAAAAGAAGATATGAACATGGCCTGATCTCCCTCAGAAACTGGTTCTAATTGTTCTTCACTTTGCTGTTCTTCCACATCAAAGTTAGTTTGCTCCTCTATCTCTTGTTCCATGACATGTATAGTTGGCACTAATTTACACTTATGACCATGCACCCATTTATCTCCACATCTCCAACATTCTCCTACTTTCCTTATTTTCTGAGTGTTGTTAGCAGTAACTTTAGCCTGCCTGATTGGGATTTGCTGCTGGTTGAAAGGTGTTGTGTTCTGCTTAGGAGGAAAACTCCCTAAAGATTTCTGATAATAATTGTTGTATGGGATAGTAGTTCTTTTAGGAACTGTTGTCACTGGGGAATGGCATGGCTCTACATCTTTTGCTAGCCAATAAGCATCAATGAGGGTTTGAGGCCTTAGTGGTCTGATCTGATATTTTATGCCCTCTCTCAATCCATTGACATAGCATCTTACAAACCAGGATTCTCCCAGTTCTGGGTTTTCCTCTTGAACATCTGCCATTAAGTCTTCAAACACTTTTGTGTATTCAGACACTAAACTGTTGGACTGTTTAACAGAGTTAAATTTTTCAGTTAGATCATAAGAGCCTTGAGCAGAGAATCTTTTAGTGATTTCTATACAGAATTCTTTCCATGACACTTTTTTTCTTCAGTAGTCCAGACCTCCTTAACCACACATCTGCTTCCCCCATAATGTAGAGTTGAGCTAATGAGACCCTATATTCTTCTGGTGCTCCAGACATTTGAAAGTACCTGTTGCATTGCCTTATCCAACCCACTGGATCTTCACCTTCAAATCTAGGAAAATCCATTTTAGGCCCTTTTGTCAAGGATTTCATGAACTGACATTGCATGTCTTGCTCATAAGTTTTTGCATAGCCCTGCCACAATTGTTTGTCTCTGTTTTGTTGGTAGCGCTGTTGAAATGCAGGTGTATAAGCATTGTGCTTGGCAGTCAGTGGGGTTCCTAAAGGACTAGCATGCTCTGTTCTGCTTTGCTGATTGAATCCTGGTGGAGCTGCGGGCCTGTTTGTTCTGATGGGAGGCAAGTTCTGCATTTGTAGCTCTTCCAACTGTCTGGTCTTCTCTTTTTCTACTTCAAGTTGTTTCTTGAGTTGCTCTGTCCTGAGTGCTTGGTTTTGCAATTGTTCTTGAGACACTGTTGGGGACTTGGGCACTTGCTGTGAACTCGAAGCTGGATCTGAGGTCTCTCTCTATATAGGAGCCTTAACCAAGGTCTGTAGCACTGCATTTATAGTGGATAATTGCTTGCCCAAGTCCAAAACTACTTGCTCTACGCTTCCCACTTGCAGTCATATTTCTCCTTGCTTGGAACTGACTGAATGAACATCATCATGCAGTTTGGCCATATCCGCTTGCATCTGGGCTTGATCCTTCTGAAGAACACCCAAATATTCACGTATAGACAGTACCTCTTGCAAATCGGCCTCATCAATTGCCTTTGCGCGTCCCATCTCCTCGATCTGAATTAGAGTTGAGGAATTTTACGACTGGATGGTCCAGCAACCCTTACTCACCTTCAGATCCTGCCGCCGCCCCGATCCACGCCGCCAAGGTACACGCATCAGTGCTCAGACGTGGAGTTTTACCGATCAAGCAAGGTACTCGACCAACCACTCCGGCTCGGCTGATCTGTACCCGAACGATCTCCGCCGCCTGCGCCGCCTACACCGCCTCCAGTCCTTCAACCCCGACGCCAACTCCGTCATTCTCCGCCGCCGATCAGAAGGAAAGGGTAGGAAGTAGGGTGAGAATAGCTCGGAAGAAAGATTTCCGCCCCAAAAACTTCATCGCCGCCAAGGAAAGGTTGCTCTGAATACCAATTTGTCAGGACCCAGCTAATATCAAGGGATCGATCTAGGGATTTGTAAGGGAGAATTGGGGAAAACTTCGCCCAGATCCAGATATTTCTATTTATATTTGGTTTACTTAGCCATCTAGACAAATCTCAGAATTCACGATGCCTTTTGCCAGCCACAGCCCGGCTATTATATAGGCGATAGCTCCCAGCAACGGGGTGAAACGAAACAGTAACTGCTAACGGTAACGTTACAACTCGATCTAACGGCTAGCGACGAACAGTAACTGTGAGGAGCCATCTCAGCCGTCCATTTTGCCTGAAGCGTTTATCGCCTGAATTGCTACAGCTAACTGAAGCTCATCGACACCGGTTCAGTCCTGACAAAATGTAAAAGAACTGACTAGCCAAGGAAAAAAAGCGGCCATCACCACACAATGAGAAATGACTTGTCGTACGTATATGGTCTTCAAAGAAAAGCTGTCCTACCTCTGAGTTGATGAGCTGATAATCCTCTGTACTGCGACGGAACAGATAGACACACTTGAAATCGAGGTAATCTCTTGCAATCACGGTACCATACACCTTTAGCGGAAATCCCACATCCGAAGAGACTATCTTCACTGAGAGGATGTTTACAGAGTCAGACACGTCGTACACCTGTCTTCCGAGTGAGTTGGTGTATTTGGATGGTGTTTTGTGAGTGTATCGCATTGGAGCCAAAGGAGCTGCTTGCCGTAGAAAAAAAAAATCAAAACAGCACCCGTTTATGTCAGTGTATCGCATTGGAAGGGCGATAATTATACAATGTGAAGACAAAACATGGATTGCATGGAAGAATTGGATTTTGGACTTACACTCCTCGTCGATGTCAAATACGGAGAAGTCCGTGTTGAAGAATCGGGTGTAGCAGACTTTCCCCGTCTTGGAATCGTACTCGCGGATCCTGTCGATGACGGCCTGATGCGCTGCTTTTCTCCGCCTGAATTCCTCCATCTTCCGCGCATGCTCCGCCGCCTTCTCCTCAGCCTCCCGCTGCCGCCTCTCCGCCGCCGCCGCCGCTTCTGCCACGACCTCCGCCTCGTCGTAGAAGAAAGGCTCTAGGAAGCCACTCTCGTCTACTGCCTCCTCCAACCTTAGGTTTGCCGTCCGCTATGAGCACGCCGTCCGCCATGAGAACGCTGCCGAGGCCGAGGAAACCGT